AGGCTCTGTGGGTAACAGCTCTCCTTCCTTTGAAGGTAGCATCAGATGAGCAGCCTCTCAAGTTTACCAGGGGAAGAAACTGAATTATTTCTTCCTCTCCTGCTGAGTTTTTCACAGGAGCATCGGGGACCATCAAAAATAATTGTTACCCAGAGGAAACTTAAAATGGCAAAACAGGCTAATTAAAAAAGGATCTTTTAAGCAGTAACTACATCACCCCCTCACATTGCCACTGGCAATGTCTGCAAGGCCAAATTTTCACACTGCCTCCATTAGCTGGGCTTTGATATCCATTCGTCGCCAGCCCAGCCACGCTAGTCAGAGGGAGAGGGGAAGCTTGGTCCAGGACCATGAAGTTGTATCCATAAGTATAGCCCAAAAAAAATCCTGTAGAGAAAAAGCTTTGCTCTCAGGTGTCCAAGGTAATTTCTACCTACCTGTATAGCCACAGAACACCAGTGCTGGGGAATGACTACAGTTTGAGGAGTGTTTGTGAGAACACATGTGAGCCCATAGCCAGTGGGGATGAGGCAAGCAAAGGATTTTTGTTTTGGAAATCAAATAAAGAGCTTGGTATCTTGATTCTTCCTTGGGGAAAGATAAATATTTTTTTTTTTTAAAAAGGGCAAAAAATCAGGCAATAAGAAATACTGTGTGAAGAAGGCAGACCTCAGCTTTCCTGTTCCTTGGGCTGCATGTGTTGGGGTGATAGGGGCACTCCTGGAGGGGTCCCAATCCTACTCTTGCACTACTTTGGGTTGGAGTGCTGCTCCCCCAGCTGCTCCTCTGCCCTGGGGGCCAGTGCCTGCAGCCACCCTGGGGGCAGGAGGCACCCACTGCAGTGCAGCTCCAGGGCCAGTCACAACTCTGGGAAAAAAATAAAAATAACTAACTAAATAAAAAACTGTGGGTGTTGTGATGGTCCTAAAAAAAATATTTTTTTGCATTTTTACTAATGTTTCTAAAAAAATAAACAGGAAAGGGCTGTGGCACACTGAGCCAGATGAAATATTCAAAAGCTGCAGAGCTTCTCATAAGAAATAAGGTAGCCATGCAAAAAGCTGTATCCTATCCTCCTTCTTGCTCAAATTGGTGGTCATTAAAAGCAGGGAGAGGACTGAGTTAGCATTGGTGGGATTGCTGGTTGTTTTTCTGTTTTGTTCCTCACTCCCCCAAATGAAATTGCACTCCCTCCCTACCATGAAATTGCACTTGAGTCAGTATTTCATTTCTGCTGGTTTTTAGATGGATGTTCTTGCTGTGCTGATGTAGTTCTAGTTATTTTGGTTTTCAAATATGACTCAGTCCTTAAACAATTTTATTTTACAGTTCCAAGTGATGCTGCTGATACATAAATGACATCCTGGGAGCTACATTTGAAGTCTAAAATAGCAAAATGAGATTACTGATGAAAACAGATTTTACAGATGAAGCACAGTAATTGAGTTTGGCTCTTTTATGGATGAAACATTATGTGATCAATAGATTATTATGGTTTGTAGTAGTTAAAGTTTCATGTTATAGAAGTATTCCATGAACAGAATGGTAGAATAAAGGGTGCAAACCTCCTGTTATACTAAACAATGGCTGTTTGGCATCTTACAGACTGTGTAGGCTCTGGCAATAAGAAAATACTGGTTAATGCAGACCTAGAAGTGTAATTGCTTTTAAATTTTGATTTATATATATATATGTATACACATACATATCTGTACATACTGTTTTGTTTTCCACCAGTGGAAAAAAAAAAAAAAAAAGTGAAATAGAGCCATGCTAATGGTCTGATGAACAGGACAGGAATTAAGCAACATGGTCTTTTTCCTTTCAGGCCCTCCTTTAAACTCTTCTTCTAAGTCAGAAATCCAGCTGTGCTCTTTTTCTTTCCTCCCAGGGCAGAGACTTGGCCATAGCGCCAAAACAACAAGTTTTAAATTTTTAATTAGAAATTAAAATAGCAACTGAAGAGCTAGCAGGGCCCGTGAGCACACAGAACATGGTGCTGGCTGCTGCTCTGGCTTGGGCAGAAGCAGCAGCTGTTGCAGGACCTCTCCAGTGCTCCAGAGCCTCTTCACCACAGGTTGTGCACTCAGGAGATGCCAGAGCTGCTCTGGTCTTCCTATTCGTATTCCTCTGAAACATTTTCTTAAACAGTAGGCAAAAGTTATCGGATGATTTTTAACTTAAATTATTAACTGGTTTGGGGACAAGTTAAACTGCATTTGCCTGTAAGTTAGTTTCAGCATTAAAAAATAACTAGCTGAGCCCTACTTTAAAGCTACTGCTATTTTTGGCTGAGAAACTTGGGGGAGGACGCATGAGCCGTGATGCACAGAGACTTGTGCACTTTGGGGAAGCCCACGAGTGCTGTCTGGACAGCACATCCTGCCCTGTGGCTGAGCACATCACCAGAGCAGTGGACAGAAGTGACCCACTCAAGGTGAGAAGCACCATGCCCACAGAGAGGGCTGAGGCAGGAGCTGTCCCATATGTATCTGCAGCATTTGAAGAGCCCAGCATTTGAAACCAGCTGCCATTGCTGCTCTATCACAGTGGGAGCTGAGGTCTGGGCTCTGCAGCTCACAGCCTCGTGCTTATCTGAGGTGCCCAGGGTGAATCTGCTACACCCAATGTGCTCTGTGGAAAGCCGATGCTGGCACTGAATGAGGGCAGCTTTACAGCACTCTTTGTGTAAATACCCACTTTTAGATGTCCTTGTAAAGAGTGCAGCAAATGTGCAGCACCACAGCCAGCTTCCTTTTCAGCAGTTTACAGCATCGCTGCTTTTTGTCAACTTGTTTCGCCACAGCATTGAATTCAGTATTGGAACTGAAGACATTTCAGCGTTTATATCTGTAGGTCTATTAACTTAGGGCAATTACTCTGCAGAGAGGTGACAATTCCTTTATGGAAGTTATTGAATTCTAGTACTGCAAACAGTGCATCCATAATGAAAGGCCACTAAGAGAGCACAATGCACCTGCTTTGCTCAAAAACATAGAAATATAATAATAATTATATTTTATGGACTATATTGTCTGACAGACAATTTAGGCCTGGAAATTAGACATCAATTTTTAATAATACTTAAATTTACTTTTCAAGAAAAATGAAAAACATGTACTACTAATTAGTGGCTTGATTGAACAGGGGGGAGATGGGGAAGGGGGGTTGAATGTGAATGAAAACGAAGGTCACTGAGATGTCTCATTGGACTTAGTTGACCTTTAGAAGAACTCCCAACTGATGAGTAACCTTGAACATTGATAAATTAGATAATATTCACTCAGCCCATTCCCATTTTTTTATTTAGCAGAGAATTCCAGCTTTGTTCAGCAGTATAACTTCAGCTCTTCACATACATGTGGCACTGACTGTCTCTCCAAGGATTTGATTCAAGGTTTAGCTATTATGTTATGTCTCAATTCTTGGCTTTTTAGCCTGTTTCTTTTTGTATTGTACCATGCTTCATGAACCTGCAATAGCAGAAAGATCCTACAACACTCAAGGCATAGCAGGTAACAAAAGGAAAGAGATTCTTGTTTTCCATCTACACACCTTTTTGTTTTGAATAAAAGCTAGGATTACTGTGCCTTCCAAGGAGTGAGAAAAAAAAAATGAGAGATTTTTTCTTCTAGTTCTCATAGCTGCTACAGGTCTAAATTTGATTTCTGGGGATGCACTAAAGCAGAACAAGGGCAGGAGCACTCACCTCACATATAACTTACCTATTCACTGGTCCAAAATGGGGATTCTTACAGCTGTGCTGTAGATATCTGCCCTGCATATCTACAGCCTCTGACAGAGCCTCAGGATTTTGTGCTTGAAAAATATTCACTCGTTTTTGTATATTAAAAAAAGAAGAAAAAAAAAAAGCTTGTTTTTATGTATTTCCCATACCTATCTTATACCTTTTCTTTAATGAAAGTGAAGTGCAATTTCTAAACAGTTATACCCTCTGTTATACCTCCTCTCAGAAATAGAGCATGCAGGCATGCAGCTGCCACTGAAATCAACTGGAGATGTGCCTCTGTGGCTGAGGGCAAAACATGACCTCTTAACAATTACTAGCAGGCAAGAAAACAGTGTAGAGAAAGCAGCCTCTTTTTCAAGGAGCTAACATTGTGCTCAAAAAGCATTGATTATAGCTTGCCAGGAATAGGACAAAACAGTAAATCCCTTGAGTACCTGTTATTTATGGACAGTGTGAAGAAAAAGGTTTATTTGGTCTGAAAAATCTTCATAGCTTTAATGGTCCAATGTAGACTATCAATCAAATTTTGCATTTTTTTTCAAGTTTTTAGTTTCTTGTTTTTCTTTGTATTATTTGCACTCACTGGCCTGGCATCTCTTGTATTCCCTGCTCCAGAAACATGAATTATTTGATACACACCAGGACAGATGGGAATTCCTACAAGATATTTGCATTCCTTATATATTCAGCCTTTTCAACCCTTAATTTGTAAACACTGTTTTTTTCTTTATTTCTCTCCCAGAGTAACACAGCTTTGGTCATGCAGCCTCTTTTATTTATTGTCCCAACAGTACAGTAATGAAAATAGGGCTTGCGTATTGGAGTGATCCCTGTGAATTATGGCAGTTTACACAAACAACTGAAACAGCTGTGGAGCTTATGGAGAGACAAACCAGCTCAGAGCAGAGTGGGAATCTAGAGAACAGCCCCTTAAATGTGAACAGATGCAGGTCAGACAAATGGTCTGTACCCACTCTGGGTGGCAGCATCCCACTGGCACATGGGGCAGGAGGGCACATGAATTACTCTGTTCAATCCATTGCAATGGCTCGCATGTGTGAAGTTACGAACAAAGATAAGAAGTTATAAGGTTGTGCTGGGCAGAGACTCCCACACACAGAGGAACTAGAGAGGAGCTCCTCTCTATATGCATTGCCCAGCTGCCCAGGCATGCCGACAAAGGAGGAGGAATAACAACACACATGAAAAAATGACACCCCTGAAAAGGAAAAATGACACAAACAGAAACTTAAGGTAAGAGAAATATTTATTTAAATTTGCACAATAACGAGCTTATACTGAACAAATTCAATCAAGAAATAATAGTAAGTGCAGTAAAACAAGAAAATATCGATGACTTTTCCCATCAGAAAACATTAAGAAGCCATGCCTGTGCATCACGATTTTTGTTTTTAGGGTTTTTTGTGTTTTTTTTTTTGTATGTTTTTTTTGTTTGTTTTGTTTTTACAATAGCTTGTATCTTTTTTTTTTTTTTCAGCGCATATACTGTACATATCACATCTTAGCTGCTATGTTCTTTATTCCTGAAGGCTTCATCCTTTTACATCTGCTATATTCTGCAGTGAGCAATCAAACACATTTGTGCAGAACCAATAACAATTAAGTAAAAATCTCTTCATCTGGTCAAGTGCTGGACTCTCAAAGCTTTGGAAGACCCTGTAAGAGCTCCTAGCTGTGTTAGGATCTTGACATCGTTATGTACAGCATTACAATGTGTCACTTTACACTAACCTAATATTCTGCATAATGATGTCAGACAGACAAATAGCCAGAACATTTGGGCCTGACCTCATATAAAGGTTTACACATCTGAGCTTGTCTTGAGTCTCACAAATTTCACTCTGATTCAGGTAACTGAATCACATTTCTGCACTTCAGATGGACAAAAACAATCCAATTTTAGTTTAAATTTTATACAATTTTTGGTCTAAAGATTTATTTTTTTTTTGAAGGAAAATTCTTTAACCAGAAACTGCTTTGTGAGAGATGGTTGTTGGTGTCACAGTTCCTGAAGGCACTGTGGATCCACTGAGCAACAGACATGGCCGTTCTAAAGGAAGGAAGAACAAAGAAAATTGAAACAATTAACATTTTTTTATAAGCTTGGTCAATTTAACAAACTCAACCATTTAAAAACTCACATCAGATTTTAAGACGTAGATCTGTAAAATACATGTGTACAAATTTTGATAGCATTCATGAAATTGTCATTGTGTCCTGTTGCCTAAGGGTATCGGCTATGATGATTCTTCTAATTGCTTGTTTTTCTGTGGTCTATATCCCATAGCTACAACAGTCAGACTGAAAGGAGCTGGGATCACTGGAATAGTCCTGTCATAAAGGTATAGGGCATTTGCCCAAATACACAAAGCTGTTGAACAAGACAGGGCACTTGGGAGTTTTATTTAGATTACACAGAAGAGACTCTGGGTTTTATTTAGCATTGAATGCTTCAAGTTAATTAATCCTAGGTGCAGCACCAGCAAATGTTAATGCATAAAGTTTTTCCTGATAGTCGAGACATTTTTCCGAAAATATTAGCAATTAAAGGAACAGATTACTTTTGGACATGATTAAATTATGAAGAAAATATTTTCTACATTTTGGCTACTTCTTTTCTTCAGACTGATTCTTATAAGGCAAATAAAATTTATATTATTTTTAGATTACTCCAAATACATTTAGTTGACTAAACTGCCAACACTAATTAAAGACCAAGGTCTGAATCATTCAAACATTTTCCTTCACTCCTTCTGTTACAGAAGGTTAGACAATCTTACTGTTCACCTTCTTTACTTGTGATTTGACATGGTTTTGTGGCTAAGTCAGCTTCAGCTGATGCCCGCTTTCTGAATTCTTAGAGGATTTATGTAAACCTATTTTGCTATAGCTTGGTTAGAGAGGCTTAGCCTCGAGCTTTGACCTTCCGTGTCGTGCTCTGCAAGGAAAGAGTGGGGTGACACAGGGTGAATGCAAGAACTATACAAATTGGGCATAGCATTAACCTGATCTGCAGGAGCGGGCTGCTTGCACGCAGAACTACAATACATGCTGCCAATATGAACAGATAGTTTATTTCAAAAAGAAAACTGCTCTGGAAAGTGAATTGAATAAGATTTTGCTTGCTGAAGGTCAAAGTGCTACATCTTCATTGTCAAGCAGATTCTCACCTGAGCTGCTTTAAATCTATGGGTTTGGCAGAGTATCTGTTTAAGTCTTCTATATATTCATAATGCAGCAATAGATTTTATATATCTGCTTACACTGAGTAGAAATTACTTTGTGCTTAAGATTTGGTCTTTGTTGAGCCTCAAGAGAAAAGGGCAGATGGAAGCAGCACACTGCTGGCCATCAGCAGAATTGATCGCTTCCGCATTGCCATTGATTAGTGTTACAACAATGAGAAAGCATTTCCCATCACTGAATCTCAGCTGTGGTTTAGAGAAGAATCGCACAAAACAATTTGTTTTACAGATAGGAAAAATGAGGCACAGAAACCTCAGCAACCCACCCAAGGCCAAATTAGCTGGACACAGGAATGTGATTCTTCATAGCCTCTCTTACTCCTTTTTTTATTATTATTATTTTTATTTTCTCCAAAAGTATCTCCTAGCATTGCAGTTGGTGTATGCTGCCAGCTGTGGACCCCACTAAAAATAGCTTGTGCACATGAGCCCGTTGCAACATCTTTTGAGCAGCGTCTGGGTTTCAAACCATTAGCCACTCTGTCGGATCAGTGTTTCCTCCTAACCACTGACCCGTTCTTACATTAAGACAAGTGCTCGTGGTTACTTGGCACGTAACTCTTCCATAGTAAAAGAACTATGCCTTGACAACAGCAACTGTTGTTGCACACAGTATTATGTCAGAAAAGTGGTGGAAGAAGGTGTTGGTTGTCAGCTTTTGTTCAACAATCAGTTACTCCCCAACTTTCCCGGGAAGAGATGTTGAAGTTAGTTTATTTTTATGTGCACTTTTCCAAATAGTTAATGGTACCAAGTTCTAGAGTTTGGGAAGTCTCTTCCTTGGGAAAGACACGGGATAAAGACCAAAATGAACAGTGAATTTCAGTAAAAATTAAAGATGTATGGATGAATCCTCCTATCTCTTTCCACTTGACTACTGTGGGATCACTCTGTCATTCTTCAGTATAGGTACAATTCACCTTACAGGGCTTATTTTGAATGGAAAAACCTATTTTAACCTCCTTTTCTCTCACATCTTTAAAAAGAGACATAAGAATTCACATAAGCCCATAGCCATAAAGTTTTTATCCTCAGACAATGTTTTTCTTTGACTACAAAAACTATAAAATGTTCTCTATGTCATGTTGATTCCACATTTAATTTTAAAGCAAAAAAAAGCCACATAATGAGGTAACTAGTCCTATTATTCTCAAAGCAATTATTACTCTCAAAGAACAAATCAATCAGTTATGATAACTCTATAGTATCACACAACACATTTCTTGTGTGAAGTCTAGCCTTACATACCTATTTGTTACTGTACATGTATGTATTTCCAAGATAGCATGGATCTATACCATAAGAACTGCAATCAAACTTGAACCGAGGTGTTATGATGGAAAAGCCAAGCCCCTTAACTTGTTCGCAGCACACTGCAGCACAGGCTGTTGTCCTACATCTGACCTGCTAGCCTGTCAAACCATCATTCCAGCACATGCAAGAGTGAAGATACCAAAACTGAACACTTATACTGTAATCTCCACTGCTTTAAAACAAGTGTTGACATCACCTAGCCACTGACCAGGCTCAATGCATTAATATTTATTTGTCATGAAACAAGCCGAGTAAGAGACATCTCAGCTTAATCTTTAAGCTCTTTACCTTGCACTGGCAGAGTGTGCACTCTGTGCCATGCTTAATCCAAGAAGACCCAGTGAAGCGAACGACATTGGTTTCATCCAGGCAGGTTTTAGTGATGTCGTTGCGAATGGTGTCTGCCTGGCAGGGGTCAGCAACACAGCGTGGGCAGCACTCATTCTCGGGGAGGACACTGAATTCACAGTCCACTTCTGGGCATGGCAAGGGCCAACAGTCAACTTCACCTTGCTGTTCAAAAACATTACAAGAAGAGAAGATTGTTAGCTATTAGTTCTGTTTCCACAGCCCATTTCTCTGACTCAGCATTATGTCTCTTAGCTGGCTAATTGTTTCCATCTGTCCCTGCTCAGAAGTCAACACAGAGAATACTGGCATTCATTACCAGTGGGAGATGTAGCAAGTTGGTTGCTTTCTTCTGCTTGCTATTGAGAAAGCGCATTACATTTAATGTCTTTCAATATACTCTGCATCAAGCTGCTGCTGAAACTTCTCCATGAACTTTGTGAAATACAGAATATGGATCTGTTCTTGTGAAGTCCTACTTCTGGCAGAAGCCATAACAGGTCTACACTACAAAACTGCTTTGAAATCTCTGTTTCTTTAGTTCTTACTTCTGTTCACATTGCTGGTTTTCTGTATAATCTCTCAACTGTTCAGCTCTGGGTGAACTAGAGTTTATCTTTTCCACCGTTACAAATGCATTAGCTTAGTTAAGGGTGTCAAGCAACCCAACTTAGCAAGAACATCACAGCATTTTCATTGAAAGGACCTCTAAACACTTACCATCTCTTTTGGATGTTATGATCAGATTACCTGGTTTCCAAACTTAACCACTCTTTCTGCATGTCACATGATGGGTTTGGTACAGTCACGGTATGAAAAGATCATAAGATAGACTATTGTTGGGCCAGAATGTTGGTAGGAGAAGTTACTGCACTCCTCTACACAAATCTAAAGATGCTTCATTATTCACTTCATTTCCTAGAAGTTGGGGCTAACTTCTATTCAGCTCAGGTCAAAGGCCAAAGTTGCAGATCTATCAGTCAAAGGGAACAGTTCACCGAAGTCACTAATGCACATTTGCTTTGGAACTGGTCTACCTCTGCTCCAGAGGGTGTGTATTTGTGTGTGTGTGAAGATAATGGCATGTGGCCAAAGGAATGAAGTGTAGTCACAAAAACTGTATCTAATGCTTTGAGAATTATGAGTTCAATACCAGAGCTAAAAAAAATTCCCAGCATTTTGCCATAGCTCCAATTTTACACCTCTTGTTGCAGAAATTATTGTGAAGTTACACTTTCACAAAATTCTTATCTGGGTCAATTTTCCTCTCTTTATGAATCGCATGATGGTAACAATGAAAGCAATCTTTAAACCAGTTACTGATCTTGATATTTCAATTAGTTTTTTTGTAGCAATGGACAGTAGAAGGAGTAGACAATATGTAGTCACCTAAAAAATCACCGTGACAACAGAAAGAAAGCAGGCTTCAGTTATGGGAGTAGCATCTTGAATAAAGAATAGGCACCCATTGAGATCCTAAACTGTAGTTTGTTTTGCTTTGTTTTGTTTTTAAGACTTTTAATGAAACACCTGGGAATCTATTTCATTGGATTTTAGCAGTAGCAACATGGAAAGCAGTGTCTACAGAAATTGCTTTCTGGCTGTAATTCATGACACCCTGACAAGGGAAAGCTGCTAGATGGACTACACTTTACATTTGGAGATAACCTGTGATAAAAGCTAGTTGCTTTTATCTTGGGATTGCTTCTGTCATAGAAACTTCCTGAGCACCATTATGCAGCACAGGTTTCCTAAGACTCTGAAATACCCACCCAGGAAAAAGATAAAAAGCTTTAAAAGAGTTTTGTTCAAACCTCATTTCACTATTTCGAAGAATGCATCAAGTCTTATTAAATTTTCTGTTACTGGAAATGTCTGAGTGAATAAACACATTTCAGTCTATCAACGTATTTGAAATTATCAACTGTGATAATGAATACATATTTACATAAATACATATCCTTATGCAGCCTCATCGGTCCCTGAATGAGTGATCACGTGAGTGTTACTATGTAGGTGTCACATCCAAATGACCTCCACTCTTTGCTAAAACAATTTTCGTGATTAAATAATTTCTATTATGTCTATTGTGTCCAAATGCATTTTTGACTGGGACTTGATAAGACTGACAAATATCCATGAAAACCAGATTTTGATTATACACATACTCCAGAGGGAACTAAATGGATGCTAATACATGAAAATGAACTATTCACAGATCAGAACATCTCATATCCTTTTTTTCCTCCTGTCTATTCTGCTGTAATCAGGAGCCTTACCAAACAGCGACACTGCTGACAGTTCTGTATCCAGGAGTCACCGCTGTTGTAGGAAAGCTCCCCACTCTGATGTAAACATTGGCTGCTGAGCCTTGGGTCACATTCAGGACAGCAAAATAGGTCTACAGTGGGATTTTCACAGTCACAGACCATTCGCCGGCACATCACATATCCATTCTGTTGTTGGAAGACAGACATAGAGTAATGGCAGAAATCTGCATGACTCCTACAGTTCTTGTACCAAAATTTGATTTGTTGGAATGATGCTAAGCCACTGCCAGCTTGTGATTTTTTCCATGATACCATAACTTTGTCAAAATACAATTCAAAGAGGCAGAAACTACAATACACACTTAGTAACCACCATAAACTGTTGTCTTTTATAAAACCTTCAGATTTACAGCAACTTTCAGACAGCTCTTACATAAGTTGATGAAACTCAATGGCGTCGTTACTAAGGGTCAAATTTTAACGGATTGCACTAAGTTTTATCATTCTCATACTGGATGCTTCTTGAGTCCTCTGCTAAACTTCCAGCTCTTTTTTGCAACTATTTGCATAAAGATGATGATAGCTGGTATGAAATTAAACTTGTGCCAATGCAACTTAAGCTTCTGAAACACTCAGGACTTTGTCAATAGTGTATTAGTTCTTTACTCATCATCAGCATTTAGCTTGGGATCAGGCTTCCCACAACAAACATTTGAGAAAGCTAAGCTGAATTACTTTGCAGAGACAGAATCTACCTCTGTTTATAGCCACCTGCTAGAGATACTGGTATTAGTTACCAATACTAACACCAGTATCTGCCTAGGCAGTTTCTTTGTGTGAAAATGCCATTACTCCCACCCAGAAAACATAGGTGGCATCTCTGCTAGCCAAGTGGTACTCTTCCCTTTCTGCCAGGAATATATAATTAACCTCATGTTGAAATTCTGCTTGTACAGGTTGGAAAGAGAAGCTCACCCCAAAACCCTACAAAATGCCATTTTTGTGTAGCACCACATACGCAGATGAAAAGGCAGCCAAAAGAGGAATTTTACTTGAATCACAATGTTCTTCCCTTCATCCCTACCAAAATCTTTGCTGTAGCAGATAGTTTTATTTCTACTGACCTGGCATGAGCAGACAGAGCATCTGTCATTCTCCAGCACCCAAATCTGACCATTGTGTTTGATTTTGTCTTCATGGATACAGTCTCCTGTGCAGTTTTTGCCATGCGGACATCGACAGTCATACCCACCATCCAAGTTAAAGCAAATAGTGTCATTGGCACAGCTATGCCTTCCAGTTCCACATTCATCAATGTCTGCAAAAAACATGCCATGTAATACTTTTAGACCACATTCAATTAACAAAAATGTTCTTGTGGCAGCCAGTATAAATGATTCGTGGCCATTAAAGCCTTCAGCTGAAAATTAATTTGCTCTTCACCAGAACAGGGAAAAATAACTTACAAGTTCACAAAAATATTTTTCAAGTCACATCAGCTTTAGAAACATCATATTTGGAGTTTTCTTATACATCTTCCTGAAATAATACTATTGAGAAAGGTAGAATAAAGCAATCACAGGAAACATAAGAATAAAAATAATACGTGACTTCCCTGAAGAGAAATAGTTTGTAGGAACTATTCAGAAGACATTTTCAATTAAACAAGTAAAGCTGCAGAAAGTTGTTTTCAAAACCTTTTGTTGGCTCTGTCTAGCACATTTGAGTTCACTTGCCAAAAAGTCAACGTGAAAGGTGTTGTCTGACCTGTAAGGTCATTTAAATAAGCATTGCATCATTTATTAGAGTGTACAAACTAGAATATTTAATTATTCAAGTTGCAGCAACATCTACAGCCTTTGTACCCAGCACAGAAAATAAAGAAAAAATTAATGTCTTCAGTGAATAAAGGTAAATTAGTTAAAAATAATTATGTTGCAAAGAATTCAAGAGTACTTTTAGAGGCCTACTTCATCATTATACATATACACAATTATTTTGCAAAGGCAAACTGGCAGCACAAAGTGCTTTATACTTGAATATTCTTTATTTAGCTTTTTCAGCTGCTCATCTGGAGAAAAGTTATCTGAAAAAAAAGTTGGCTTTGAAAAGGAAAGAAGTAAGCAGCTAGATGTGATAAAATGTAGAAAAAAATACAAGATCAAAGACTAGATTTATGGCAATTGTAAATATCAATACAGTGGGTTCAAGTCTACATACAAGTCTGGCCCAAGCTCTTAGAGTTCATTAAAAAGTAGTATAGTGACATTTAACTGTCCAACAGATCACTACAAGATAAAATAAGCAATATGATCATATTCAGCACATATCTCTCAACATCAGCATAAAATCTTAATAAAACACTCAGCTTTGGATTCAAGAATGGAAATGAAACCTTCAATTCACCTTAAGCACATTCAGTTTAAAGCAAAATAACTCAATTATTTCAATTCCATGTGTGGCTCCAGTCAAACAAAAGTAAACAAGTTGCTAACATGAATATGAATTGGTATGAAAAACAGCAGGGAAATTATTAGAATTCCATTGTATAAATAAGCAGCATTGTGGGTTTCCTTCAAGTATACTGTGTAATGGTGGGTCCATTTGAAAAAAATGTATTACAAAATTACTAGGGCTTCTGAGAAAGATGAGGAAAATCTCATTTGAGAAGAACTAAAAAGTAATGGATTGTTCTTCTCTGAAAGAATATCAGCAAGAAAAACATAACCAAAAAATAATGAATACTCCAGAGAAGACTTATTGAGAGTTTTTGTTGACCACACTTGCCTAATAGACAAGAAATGGGACAGAAGATGAAACAGGAAAACAACAAATTCAAGTCTCAGGAAATATTTTTTTCCATGCGATATATAAACAAACTATGACACTCGCTGCCACAGAATGTTGTTAAAAGGGAAAAAAGATGCATCAGATAATCCAGCATGGGCAAATCATCTCAGTTCTCCACATCTCCTACCTCACTGTCTGAAGCATCTGGAGCTGGTCATTGTTGCAACAGGGTAGAAGGCAACTGAGCTCATGAAACTGGTCTGAGTGTGGCTCTTTGCATGGACACGAACAGTTGAAACATCACAGGCACCTCAGACAGGGAAACCCATCCCAACAGTAAGGATACGTAATCACTGGAACAGAGAGCTGTGCAGAGAGTGTGCAGGCTCCAGCCTTGAAGGTTTTTAGACAAGTAGCTAACAGGAATTTTCTGAGTAACACTGATCTGGGCAGAGCAGAGGGATGGAAGAACTGTACTCTCCTTCCTCTCTTTTCACTTAAATCCATACTGACAGTAATATGATCTGGGAATTTAAAATTAAGAACTCCACACACACAACCTAATTGGTTTTAAGTCATTCAATGAAGAGAACAAACACAGATCCTATCTAAATATAATGATCATCAGCAGGATTCTCTTTACCATTGAAGCCATTTTTAATAAACAACTTCCAGACACTTGTGTTCATTTGTTTAAAACACTCTTCTGTACAAAGCTTTGTCACAGCAAGTGTCATAAATGAATAATATCACTTTCCAACAACCTGGTCACTTAACTGAAAGCAGACATATTTAATGAGATACTTGGGCAAAGTTCAGCTGTTATGTAAATAAAAACCATTTACTTTAAACGACAAACAGTAACCCTATAAACACTAAGTCTGCATTTGGCACTATAAGTGCAAGTGCCTTTCACAAACTGCCTATGAGGAAAGAGCTTCTGAGGGTTGTTTTTCAACATGTTAATGGTTAGTGCACTGTTACTGAAAATAATTGAGCTTTCGTCATTGACTCTGATATTAAGCAGAGCTTATCCAACATTGAGCACTTGCAAAAAATCCCAACCTTGTTTTTCGGTTGTTTGATTCATGAAAATAAATGTTCTGGATAAGGCAGTTTAAATATCCCAGGTCAAAGCAGAAGCTGTTTAGGTTTTGATTCTAACCTAATCATAAACATCAATGTGTTTACAACATGTCAAGAGAAACATAAACTTGCATGCATGAAATTCTCATCTGGATTATTTATCCACATCAAACTTCAGTCATTATCTGCAAAAGACTTGCATACAAAGCATCCACACTAAGCAAAACTTTGGTCAGCTTTTTTAACAAATTCCACAGCCATATGGACAGGGTACATTGGCCCCTGCATCTTGTGTGTCTTAAAAAGGGGTAAGGGGAGGACACAGGGTGTTTATTTGCCAGTATATCCAGCTACAGATTATGCTGTTATCTTTCCCATGTTATGTTTTTCTTTAAAAACAACAACAACAGCAACAAAGCATATCAATTCACTTCAGGCTATTTACAACACACTACTTAGGAATCCAGCAGCTTGTTTGCTACAACATTAAAACATTAAATCTCGAAAGACTTGGAGGTTTGCCTCAGAAAAGAAAACAAACTCCAATTATAGCTAGCTATCTTGTGCTCAGTTGAGGACCAGTTCTTATTTATCTAATTTGCAGCAGCTTTGATCTGCCACACTTTTAAGGATTTTCCTTTTCTCATTTTCCCTGAGTACAACTTAATATTGCAACGACAAAGGAGTACCATGGATGGAGCAGTAGTGACAAACATTAGAGAGCTAGGAGTTAATTGTATCACAAGTAATTTCATGCCTAAACAGGAGAAATACTGGACTAAAGCTAGACATAATGGTGGCAGTACCTGGAATGCCTAAACTACATTCATAGTATTTGAGAGACTGCAAAGGCAAAAAACTATATAAAAACAGGAATCTCTATTGCCCACCAGGTTGTGAGCCAAGATTGTATTTAACAGATTTCCTGACTGTTGCTTGGAACAGACAGTCAAAGACTCCCACAGAGAGAAAGCAACATTTGACTTGGCCATGAGCAGTGTGCAGCCTCTGATTCAAGATGTCACTGCTGAACAATTACTCCGTATTGATGACACATGGTGACTACAATGTATGCAAGTTCAACATGCTTAAAGTAATTTAAAAGGCTGCAAAAATTCTCTGTGGTAGTACTTGGTTTCAAAGGGGGTGTGTTATATTCAAATGATGATGAATTAAAGATGAATTAAATCTTTATAAAATGTTTTCAGATAGAAAGAAGATTGTTTTAAGACACTATATTATAGATTCAGAATAAACATTTACCATACTAATTAAGAGACTTCAAAGTGGGATACAGTTGATATAATGCACTACTTTCATTTGAAAACTTTTGATGAACTCTTTTGCATAACACATGCTATTAAAGGAACTATCTGCCTTGGAATAAAAGGGGTCATCCACTCACAGATTTATAGTGGGTTAATTAGTAAGTAATAAAAAGCGACAATAAATGGTCAAGTTGTCATAATGGATTGATATACCAGTAAAGTTCCCTAGGAATGTGTGCCAGAACATGTGCTGCCCATGTTGTACTTAAATGTCATCTGGAGCATTAGATAAAGTATAAGATGAAAAAAGTTGTTGTTAAGTATTAAAAACAAAAATTTTCAGTGAAATATAGAAGTATTTAATGATACTGACTGAGTAAGCAATAATATGGCAGATGAAATTCAGTTGTAAGGCACATGGAAAAGTACACATTCAAAAGTCAAACCCATTTTTTAGATCTATTATGAAAAGTGATCTTGGAGTTACTATGTCAGGGTCTAAAAGTGACAGCCCAATACTCTTTTGAACAAAAACAACAAAAACGTTATTGATAACAACAGGTGAGATTTGCAGTACACGCACAAGGAACATGAATTTGTGAAGGCACTATTAGAAGAAAAAAAAAAAAAAAGTGTGTATATCCTTGCTAGATAGTGACAAAGGGCTAAGAGACGTGCTCTGATGCAACTGATGGAAAGCTGTAACTTTCCCTCCTCTGATGAGTTATCTAGATTTACATGCATGACATTCACATAAAGCCAAAAAAGGTCTCCCCCAGGCATGGCTTCCTAACAGAATCACTTGAATCTGTTAGTGTTGTTCATGTAAAGAAAAGATGAACACCTCAATTATTGATAAATATGTTGTTGAAAGATGATTTGGGATGGTGGATAGTTTCTTTGCTCTGAAAAAACTGAAGATTCTCAATTACCTTAGCTTTGACAACCTTCTCAGCAGGGTAGCTGTACAAGGATACCTGGATACTTTTTGCTTAAGGCGAAACAGGAAGGAGTATATTTGATTTGGAGCCCAAGCTCTTCTGAGCAGAAAGTCTGGTTTCTGCTCTTGTCTATCCCAAATAAATCTATTAACTGATGTAACCATTCTTCAAAGAGCAAGTGAATTATGAATAATTTATTTGTGACTTCATGCAAGCCAGCTGTCAGAGTGCTTAGCAGATGTGGAAGATGAAGAGCCGAGACTTCAGATGCCAGTAAACCCAGATTCATAGAAATGTTGCTACCTGATACAGTAAACATGTTCAAGTCACTGTCTCATAAAATGTACAGTCTGTGCTTCTTTTTTATTAGCCCTCTAATAAAACATCAGAAACTCTGCCAATTTTGTACTCTGCCCACACTTCAGAATATTTAAATACTAATGTGTCTCCAAATCTGCCTTCTCTCCAGTGTTGTTTATGTTGCATTCCTAAATTCAAAAATGAAGCTTTAATGCCTATAGCTCTGTTTAAGATAGAAGGATAAAAAGTCAATTCATAGTTTTAATTGTTGACCTTCTGTGACCATAAAGATGAAAGGATTTCCATGGAGCTTTGTGAGTGCTAGTAAGATTATCTGCTGAAGATTAATGATTCTTTATTTCCTGCCTCCTTAAGTGCTATCAGTAACAAAGCTTCCGTTAAACATGACAAGCTCTGTAGAAATACCTGAGTGTGGACTCTAAACTGACAGTGTTTTTTCAACTATGAGAAAACTCATGTATTAATTAATACACTGGATGGACCGTGAGATGAATTCAGACATCCTGACAGTCAGCAATTCCTCTGCCTTCCAGATTCAGAGATTTAGGTACAGAATTGACCAGTTTGGACTTTGTTCATTGGTTAAGAACAGAGAGCATCCTTGTAGCCTCATTATTCTCGGTAGTGAGAAAAAATCACAGGGAGCCCTAGCCCTCTGTGTTGTCAGGCAGCCTGTGCTATCACATGGGGAAGGAAGTGATTCTACTTCTTGAAGCAGGACAGCAGTGGTACTAAAGAATGTTACAAGACATTTCAAAATTGTAAACTGTAAGTTCACATACAGGTAAACTCTTGCAACAAAAGAGATGCTTTTTGAATTGGCTGGGGCGTTCTGGATTGATGCTTTCCAACCTGTTCATTTGCACCTGTCTCATTTAAAGAATCTGATACCTGTGGAGAGTGAAGATATTTTTCTCTTATATGCTGTATCAACAACAGCTGGTACCTGCCAGATACTCTTGGCAAGTCCAATGGGAGTTCATTAATTAGGTGAGCTACTCTTCTGACATGGGAGTATGCAAAATGTCCAAGAGCCAATGAGATATAACCTCCACTACTTCTCATACAAACCAATACAGCCTCTCTCTTCAACTGATCTTGAAAGCTTTTAGACATTACATTGTAAATGTTAACTAGGGCCTGAATGTTCTTGTTTTAGGATTTTGCCTTCAGTGGTTTCAGTTTTTGAATGCAATGAAGCTTGAGGCTGTGGTATCTACTATCTCAGCCAAGTTCTCGTCTATGAAATGGTTCTTGAGAGACAACTGCCAGAGCACCAATATGGCTGAGTAAAGAAACTATAAAGAAAAGCTGTTAGGGGATGAAGAGGAAGGTACCAGGTAATATACTATGCTGAATTCTCTATTTACATATATATATAAAATTCAAGACTTCACAAACCCATGCAATTCTCAAAGACTAAACAGCTGATCTTTCACCGCTTTTCTGGAAATAAGATGGTGAACAACATAATTCTATTTCCAAGGGAAAAGCAGCAAGTGCTACTAAGAGGTTGAAGCCCTACAGCTGCATTTCCTATCACTTCAGTGTTGTTACAGTGAGCACCTGAAAGGCCATCCACCAACAGCTCAGTCTAATCACCTCTAACACAGGGGATACTGAAGAAGTGACATAAGAAATGGCCAGACTGCCTTTAAACCCAGTAGGGGTAACTCTCACAGTGGAAAGATCTGACAAGGGAGAAACCAATTGCTTTTGCACTGCTGTACTCTACTGCTGAAAATTCAACTTTCCAAACCACTTTTCTGTTTGAGAGGCAATGTCACAGGCTTCAATACTATAAAAAGTGATGCAGTGAGACTAATAAAATATCCAGTTTTCCTACCTATCTCCAAATATTCCAAAATTTGGAGCTGCAATTGATCAAACGGAAAGCGTTCCCACTGATTGTGACCAAAGTTATCAGCAATGAAGATATTTTCCTGGCATCTGTGAATTAATTCTAGTTATGCTATACTCTGCATATGTTTAATATGTGCTGCTGAAACTTTGTAGAAAATGCCAAAGCATGCTAATAACTGAACTTTTGCATACATGTGGCAGTCTCCATATTTCTTTTTCCTTGTTTTTTCCTTTCCTTACAAATTGTTGCTTAATCATTCCTTGTTTGCATACATCTTAACAGAGGTACTGTTAAAAGCATCATACCTTTAGTTTCATTTTACATCTCAGATTTCTTGACACAGCACTTGCCAAACCTGAAGGTTCAGCCCACAAGACAAATACTATATTGATGTTGAAGATAAAACCTGGGGTATTGAGAACATTTCCATAAATGCCTGGACAGGGTACCTGTGCCATGAGTGACAAAAGGGTGACGTTGCAATCAGAAGCATCACAACTTTTCATTGCCATTGTCACAACTTCGTCAGAAGTCTTTGCACCTTCCTGTCCTAACACCTGGCCAGCTAACACTGACATTTAGTTAGTTCTTGACAAAGAAAGCTGAACTTACGAAAGCAGTGGCTGATTCAAATCACTAGATTCTCCTGAGAATACAGGCTTTCAGCTGTGGTGAAAATGTGTTGAAATAAAGTATTGATGATGGGGATACCGAAAAGGTCATTCTCACTCCTGGAGAACTGTCTGTGTGTCTGCCTTAGTGAAATTAATTCAATTCTTTCCCTTTGGGGCTAATGCAGCCCACCAATGTGAGTTTAAACAGTAAGATGGGAAAGCTTACACTGTGTGAGCACTGAATATTTAAGCATTTAGAGACGGCAGGGAGAAAAACTCCTAATTTTGCCATAAGTAGTCTATGGCAAAACAGGTAGGTTTGTTCTCTTATTTAAGATCAGCAGCTCTTAAAAGAGGAAGAACATTTTATACTAAGAGATATGCATTTGAAAATAACTGTGTACTCACTAACCTGCTGTTCTCTCTAGCATCATTCATTAACAATAAAACCTTTCCCATCTACTTGTCACCCTCTCATTTCCTGCGCCCTGTGTTTTGCCCCATCCCCAAGTCCACTGAACTTCACAGTTTGTGAGGTTGTCCTTCAAATAACAACTTTCTAAAAGTAGTTGTTGGTCTGTGCACAGAGAAGGATCCCAGTATTAACCTGAATGTGGGTAAGAGTGTTAGGGCTGCAAAATCATTCTTTGCAACAGTAAATATTTTCATCACAGGTTATTTCAGTGTAAGAGGAATGAAGTGGAAAAACTGGGGTCTGGATTCAGGCTCATTTATACACATAAAGAACCTGACATATAAACAGATTACTGTGGAGTGACAGATTACAGTGCTTACTATCAGCCTGTGGGAAATCACTAATGCACAGAAGCAGATGTCAGGCCAGTGAGACTCTTTTAAGCACAGTGCCTGACTGCATATTATCTTAGCAAGTCATAGAAATAGCCATTAATGCTGCCCATAGAAATTAGAAATATTCATACTTTATTTTCTTTTGCCTTTTGCTTACGATGCTTATTTAGACAATGATTTCTTCGGTCAAGGTTTAACTTTCATTGATAACAGTGCCCAAGACAATACTTGTTCACAACGGCTTGAGATACTAGACACCACTGTAATGCAAGCTATAACACTACCCCACCTTTCTTAGATACTGACCTTCACAGGATTCTCCACTTGGTGAAAACATCCCATTGTCGTGGTAGCCATCTCTACACTCACAGTGGTACCACCCAGGCAGGTTAATGCAGTTAGCTCGGCTGTCGCACTGAACAAAGCCATCTGAGCATTCGTCAATGTCTGGTTCAAAAGAACAAAAAAGGAAAGAAAATTCACACAGAATAAATTAACACATCCATCTGATGGAAAAACAATATCTCTTTTATTTCTGGGTTTCACAGAAGTGTTCTGATTATTGCCACTTGAATTTTTACTTATTTATTGTAAAATTTTAAATCATTTCCATAACAGTTTTTGGCTAACACTTTTGGCCTTGCTAACTGGAGTTCCGCTGATTTCAGTTTACTGTTTACGTATTAGCAACTCAATTTTTCACAGTACATGCTAGGTAGTCTGTCTTCTGTGTAAGTTGCCCACAGCATGAAGGAAGGAATTGGATCCCACTTCAAATAAGATGTTAACCTTTTGGGTATAAGCAGCTTGACAAAACTTTTTTTCTCTCTCTCTTTTTTTTTTCCTCTTTTTTTTTGTTTATTTTTATTTTCTGGTGCCATATCAAACATTAAATGTTTGCTGTGGTCCTTGGTAACACTGATATTAGGTCAGTAGGACTTCCCTGTCTCATGGAGTTCCTGCTGACTTACATCATCATGCTGCTGACTCTCAGCATAACTGACTGTAGTTCACTTCTCTCACTATCAAAAAGAGCAGCTGGGATTCCAAACCAAAGCTTAGATCCTGAAGATGAAATACAACGCTTTCTCCTTCTCCTGATAATTTCTTTGGGATGCCCATTTCTTTAAAGAAGCACTTCTACTAACTAAACATTACAGTAATGACCCGCAGTAGAATGAATTTCTGGACACACACACTAGATCCAGTATCCTCAAAGGCATGTCTTGCAGATACCTGAACTCACGGATTTAGTAAAGTAGAGAACTTTGCCACAGGTTCATTTCTAGTGCCTTCAGTTAAGCAGTAAGCCATATTAATGAGTAGGTTCCAGAACATGAGTTCTGTTAACAGGTAGGGAATTTCAGGGAGCATGTAGTCAGACAGGGATAAAAATGGGTTCTTTATTATCAGATTTATCACATTATCACTGTTTCATATAAAGGGTAGCATACCTAATGGAACAGCAGGTTGACTGAGATGTGCCCATGGAACAGGCACAGAGGGAGACAAAATACGCACACAAACTTCCTTCCGAAACAAAAAGCTTTGAATATTGAATAAACCCTCAATGTACTCGCCGTGCTGGCCGAGGTACGAATTTAGCCAGGAATCTGAGAACTGATAAAACGATTTGAATTAAGACTCAAACTCTCAGAAGTACCTCTGCAGTTGATCTAGTATCCTCTGGGATGTGACTACAGAGGAGAGATGTGATGTGACCACTGAGCTATATGTAATGTATGTCAAAATACTGCCCACAGTCCTTCTCAGCTTTGTGTACCATAAATTAAGTCCTAAATCTCAATTGGTTTAAAACACAGAATTTTCAACTCCATGGTGACGGGCAGTATAATCATGTAAGTGCTCCTGCTGCAGGACTGGGAAATGCCAAACCTTTGCAACCTTCAGCTGCTCAGTGTGTCTCTCTCTAAATCAGTATAAACACTGGCCTTTTTCTTGTGAGCAGCCAGGAGCCAGTGGGACTTCAGAAGTGCTTGAGAGATCAGAGGAAGATCGATGGAAATTATGTTGCTGTAGTGAGAAAAGGTTGGTTTGCAGTCTGTGCCTTCTCTACAGGTATTCACTCATGTACCCACAGATTGCTTAAGAAAAGTGAAGGAAAAGAAAGGAGGACTGCAATCTAGAAGATCCCTTACCATTGGGGTGCATTCAGTCTGGGAGACAGCTTACCTGCCTGGACATAACCTATGTTATCATCCTATAGGTTTGGGATCATCTGCTCAGTACAAGAAAACTTGCTGGGGGTGGTCAGAGCCACAGGCCCAAGAGAATCGATGAAGCATGTGATTGCTTCTTAATGTTACTTAATATCACACATTAAGAAACCAGATAGCATATGTCTTCTTTTGGAAAATTGAATTTATTTCATTATGATGAGGTGGAGGAAAGAGTGTCCTATAGTTCATAGGAACAGATATTAATTAAAGAAAGCCTGTGTTCCTCTCTTCAGGACAATTTATTTGTGAATCTGTAACTTTTATAATTATGTGCACAATATTGCAGGCACAGGCTGAATGCATTCTACTGAATTCACTTACTGATTATTCAGGAAAAACAAGTCTTGAATGTCACATCAGTATTGGTAAACTGACAACAAAAGTGCGTTTTCGTATTTATTTGCAAACTAGCTGACAAACCCATATCACAAGAAATAGTGCTTGAAATGAAAAGCTTTTACAGATGCCAATAAACAAAGAAATACACCCTTCTGGTTTGTTATGGCAGCATGCAAAGTTGAGTGGAGTTATGAAGGAGTGGCTACCATAAAAAGCATAGATGGAAGCACACTGTTGGTCTTTAAGAAATGTCGTATTCTTGACAGTTTGCTTGCCTGAAATCATTCCATTGGAACTATTGCTGCATGGACAGTGAAAAATTCATTATTCCTTACATGATTTTGCAGCAAAGAGTAAATAATAAATAAATAAATTCTCACACCAACTTTGTAGGCAAATGATATTATACAGCATGTGTTGGTGGGTTTCAGAACATAAATGTTCTTTATGCACAACATTTTTCATTAAATCTCTCAACTAATGTTCATTATTAATTCTATCAGACTTTCTCTGTAATAGGACAAAACTCTGTTAGAGTCACAATTCTGTTAAGAAATCACAGCAGAGACATATTTTGCGGAGCCAAAGCAATGATTTCATGGAAAATTTTCTTGACATTTGGATGAAAGGATTTCTATTTTCAAATGGGCATAGCATGGCTCAGGAAGTGCTGCAAAAGTCTCTACAACTGAAATGATCTTATTAGTATGGAAAAAGCAGCTAGAAATAATTTTTCTCTGTCCTATGGTGAAACGTTCTCCGATGAATCATCTTGCAGCTGCTCAGTCAGAGGTGTGAGCTGACAACAGGAAAAAAAAACTGATTGAAGTTTTGCTTGGCCAGTGGCTATGGTATATCAGTGGGCTATACGGAACATTAACAGCACTAATGAAGTTCTGTTTGATGCTGTACTAGAAAGGCATAGAAAATGAAATACTGTTCTATAGAAAGAAGTTACTGAAAGGACTTTATATTTTCACTTCTGAAAAAAAAAAAATACAAGGAGAGGAAGGATGTCATTTTTTCACTGCATCTGTAAGCAGACAGACAAAATAGACATCTTATTTTGAGTTTGTAAGTTCCCTTCTTCAACTAATTGTAAAACAGAGCGTCATTTGTGTCATGATCTAGAGCTAATGGTCTAATCCAAGCCCTGAATTTATGGAAGAACTCCCACTGACTATCACAGAGGCAGCATTTTCTCTATTTTTCTCTTTTCCTTTTCAAACAGGTTGCACAATTGCACATACCAAATCTGACACCCCACTCATGTGAGGCATCAGATTTGGAACAGGCAGTAACACTAAGACTGGTCGTTTCCAACAGAAACCTTCGCCCTAGTCCAGAGAGCAGCTACATGGCAACACCCCGTTCTGGCCATGTTCACACCTAAGGACACTTGCAAGGCAGCAGATTTGTGGTTCACCTCTTGAACTGTCTGGAGAACACACATGTATGAGACTGACTGAGCCCAGAAAACATCAGAAACACAGGGAATCTCTACCTGATGTAGTTCATGAATGTACTCACAGCAATACTGTACGTACCATACTGCCATAAAACAGGGTAACTGATTATTACAGACTTATGTTGCACATGATTTGGTTTTTAAATATTCAGTATCCTGTACGTTTTTCTGAAACTGAAATCAGTCAGCCTGGTTTTGTCAATATTTTGTCACCCAACTTTCAACAGGGGAAAAAAACAGCTTTTTTTTTTTTTTTTTGTTTTTCTTTCCAAACTGAAGCCCCACTTTGAAAAACAGTGTCTGGCATTTTGGAAGTAAGTACTGTGTACAGCTAGCTCTCCTTGACATGAAAAAAAATGCTCTTCCAAATCACCTCCTTTATACCTCATAATCACTCATTTCCTGAACTGTAGCAACAGTTTCAGCTATTACACCCTTGCTCTTGGGGAGACTAAGAAAACCCTGCTCCCTGAAGAGTAAAATAAGATCATTAGCAAATTATCCACTGGTACAGTAAGGAAAAAAAAAAAAAAAAGAAAAGCTAGCAGTCTGATGAATATTATTAGAGAATTTCTGTATAATAAGAGCTTTGAAGATAGAAAGTGGTATAAAATTGCCAATTTGAAAGATAGTAGTACTCTTTCATCCAGCAATAAGACCAAGCTCTCTAATGTGGTCAAGCTGCACTCAACAAAGAGCCATGTGTGATGAGAGGCGGGGTATGGCTATACCATTTTGCATTACTCACTTCAGGACTGAAATATTAATCACCAAATCCTCCTCTCAGAATAGTCATCATGCCACCATCAAACACAGAGTTAGAGACATAGAGCACAGTTTAGTCCAAAAATTTTTTATTTCATAAACTTCTTTATACAGGTCAATGCAAACCAAAGCCTCAGCAGCCTCTTCATGTCACGAAGGAAACACCACAGATTGGAAGCTGTGAATATGTATAAATTAATTATTTCCATCTTGGAAGTTTTTCTGGGACAGTATAGCACATGGCACTCAGCTAAGACTGCCAATTAATAGACTCACAATTACAGTAATCTGTCCCAGTGCTATTTTTTTTTATTTTAACTGGATGTATTTATAAAGATAAATGAGCAGCCAGCAACTTTTGTAACATTCAGTCACTACTGGCTTAGGCTACCCTGAGATCTCATTTCAAATGCAACAGCCTTTCGAGCCTAATGCTAACCTCCAGAGCCACCCACATCCTATCCCCACAAAAAGTATAAATAAAATGCATACACTGAAAGAAAAATTATGTCAGAAACAGATCATCAAATAAGTTGTTTAGGGTACTATTAAGCTGTTTAAAAAAAAAAAGAAGTCTTCAATGCTTTTTTGGTTGTTTTTTTGTTTGTTTGTTTGTTTGTTTTGTTTTTCCTGAG